AAAGGGAAGGATAACATTTGAACTAGACTTAAGAAAGATTTCAGAAGGCGTATGGACTTATTGACATATTCTGTGTAAATAGAAACTCTTCCCATGCCTACCTTTGTTTCATAGATGGAGGTAAGGGGACTGTTTCAGCAATATAAGATTAGAGTCTGGGGTGAATCAGAGTGTTATATTGGTTCTGGATGAACAGAGAGGCATAGAGAACAGGTGTAAGTAAATGCCCAAGAGTATTTCTGATCTGATTCATAGCTCAATATGGAGAGTTATGTTGATGTTCTTCCACCTCCTTCTTTAGTCAAATAGGTTGAGAGCACTAGGGGTTGTTTTTTTTTCTTTGACTTTTTAGCTCAGTGATACCCAGAGCAGTGTGCCTACTCAGTATTTGTGTGAATAAATTTACTGTTCTGTGTGTTACCTGTCTAGTGAGGAGTGGTCCTCTAGTTATATATGAATGAATCAGATGGTTGTAGCCCCTACTGTTTCTTGAATTATCCTTTGATTCTTCTCAGCTTGACCACGAAATTCATCTTTTCTTATTCGTACTGCCTTTCATATGTAGTTACTCTAGAGTAGGGCATGCAGATAGGGTCTTAGTAAAAGGAGGGGAATTATAGATGTGGCCTTTTTCAAACCCCCAATGCACATAAGCATGTAAATTCCACCCGTAAATACTTGCAACAACCTAGATGTGGAGTGCATATTTATTATGGTGATAATGTTTAATTCTAAATTCTTCAGTCATGAATCTCTTACATTGATATGTCTGAAATAAGATGTTTTCTTATGATTTCATAAGCACTTTCCTATATTTTACATGTGGTTATCTAGATTTTAGCATGGTGTTATGCATAGTAATTAATAACTAATAGTCATTTGGTGGGGGTACCTTTGAGAAAACAGTAAAATTAACATTGTTTAATAAACAATAAATTAGCATTAATATATTAACATCAATACGATGTTAATATATTTTTAGTCACCAACTGCGGTCTCAGCCATAGTTAATATAGGTTGTAATCTTGTTGCCCACTGTGTCTGAGGTGGTGGTAAGTTAAAACTGCTGAAACAAATAGGTCCAAAATATAATGACATGGCTTAACATAACAAAAATGTATTTCTTGCTTTTATAACACTCCAAGGCAAGTGTTCAGGTTGGCTAGGATGCTCTTCACATAACTTACAAGAGACACACGTCAAGGGCTTCTCAGCTTCTCTCCAGTGACCTGGAAAGGAAGGGGAACAGCATCAAGGAGCAAGAATGGGAAGATGGGATGGCCCAAGCCTGGAAGTTTCTCTTATGATGACTTTTGACTAAAATCTGGACTTAAATTATTTTAAGCAGCTTGGCTATATTTCCCAGCTTCCTTTAGATGCAAAAGTTTTAACAGTTGATCCTGGTTATCTCATGAATATACATTGGGGGTATTTTCTCATTTGCATCTTTTGTAATTACTTTAAAAATATCACCAAAGCAGCTGCAATAACTGATTTATCTAGCATCAGGGGAAATGAATCTTTCGAGCATACTTGAATTTTTTGGATATCAGAAGCTTACAGTTTTAATTGTCAGAACTTTATATTTTCACAAATCTTTCCATAGTACTCTGGCTTAAAACAAAATGTAATCTTATTTTTTGATGACTCTTGTTCAACTGTGTGTGCCTCAGTAATTGTATTGAACCAGAATACTCTGAAACCTTTTACATATCTGAGTTTGTAGAGCAGTTTATTTCAAGTTAGGTAATTATTTAGATTTGTTATTCTTTTCACTGGTCTTCTGCTCCAGTGAATTAGATTATAACTCTTTGAAGGTAAGGTCTTACTCTTGCTTCTGAATCTCTTAAAGTGCCTGAAAGTAGTGCCTTGAATGGCCATAATCTGGCGAGCTTACTTTGATCATTTTTTTGTTTTTATTGGCTTTTTTATTGGTAACTCTGTTTTGCTGTTAGTATTTCTGCCTTTATGACGGTGATTCTCAAATTTCAGTCTATCAGAATCACCTTGAGGCTCGTTAAACTCGAGCATTTGCGTGGTCCCATCCCCAGAGTTTCTGATTTAGTATCTCTGGGTGAGCCAGGGAAGATTTACTTTTCTAATGTGTTCCCAAGTGTTACTAATGATGCTTCTTGTCCTGGGACTTCATTTTGAGAATGACTGCTCTGCTTAGAACTTTCATCATTCTTATCTCTTCTTTCCTCTTAATCTCCCTTTCTCGTTCTCCTCCTAATCTGCTGAGAGCTAACAACATAAATACATCTTTTAGTACCTCTTTTTTTTATTTTAAAGTGAGAAAAAGGCTTTAAGTCAAGGATGTGAATTGTTTCCTATGAATAAGGTACATGGGCTTTATATTATCCTTTGGCTGAGTCTAGTATCACTTCATTTCTGGTTAATGTTTGTGTTCCGAATAACTGAAGTCACTGTTGAATCCATGAATATACTGATGCTTAGTCATTAATAAATCTGGGAAACAGGGATTCCTTCCACCTTGGTAATGTTAGTGAGACAAAATGTAAATTAGTTACTGTAATTTTTAGTTTTTCAAAATACCTAGAAAATGAGTAACAGAAGTACTGTGGCTGTTTAAAATTTAAAACCCTTAGCCAGGCACGGTGGCTCAATACCTGTAATCCCAGCACTTTGGGAGGCTGAGATGGGCAGATCACCTGATGTCGGGGGTTCAAGACCAGCCTGACCAACATGGAGAAACCCCATCTCTACTAAAAATACAAAATTGGCCGGGTGTGGTGATGCATGCCTGTAATCCCAGCTACTCAGGAGGCTGAGCCAGGAGAATCGCTTGAACCCAGGAGGTGGAGGTTGTGGTGAGCGAGATTGTGCCATTGTGCTCCAGCCTGGGCATCTGTCTCAAAAAAAAAAAAAGAAAACCTCAGGCAGCATCCCATGGATGAAAAAAACAAAACAAAACCCTAATGGTTCTGGAACTAGTAATCATACATCTTTTATTTACATATATGTTTTAAAATTGTTACCAAAAATCAACTAAATTGTTCAGATGAGAACATGTCCTGGCAAAAAAAAGAGAAAATAAGAAAAACAACTACTAAATTGTTGTTAATGTTAGAGAAATAAGAGGCACTTACTGATTCAACCACAGTGTGTTCTTGAGATCAACTTTAATTTTTGTTTGTACTTTGTGGTAGCTTTTTTTCATTTGAAAGAAACCCAATAGTAAAATTACATTGTTAACTAATGTTAATCTTACTTCTTTGTGTCAATTTTTGTAATTAATTTTCTTAAGACACTCTTAGAGTAAGTTTCTTGTGTGTAAACAAAACAACACAACTTATCACTGTGAATGAAGGACACCATTTACTAAAACATTCACTACCACTCGAGAAGAAGAAAATGGTTCTTTTGAATCAAAAAAGTTATGTTTAGTAGCTAACATCTTTCTTCCCCCTCTTTTGATGCTTCGTTTAAATAATCTAAGTGTTATGATTTAAAAGATTGTGCCACCATTGAAGAGTCTAGGGGAGGTCCTATCTTTTTAGATCATTTGGTCTAGTTTGGGGACAAGCAGGTAGGTTACTGTTTTGTTTCTTCAAACATTATAGTGACCAAAGTAAGTAACCTACTGTTAGAGGCCAGTAGCTAAGGTTCCTTCTAGTATAGTTAAAATCCTGACGCTGATTTTTTAAAATGTGTTGAGTTACTCATGTTTTTGGGATTTAGGCACTGCATTTTACACAGTTAATATTCTAATGATATTTATTGAATTAATTAGTGACAGTTCATCTAGAAATGACACCATTGATACAGGCAAGCCTGAAGTTATGTCAAAGAGAAAATACGTGTGGACAGGAAAAACAAAGCAATTGTGCAAGCTGTGATCTCCATCAAATATTGAAGACTGTGTGCTTGATAAAACTCACGTTAAATTCATCATATAAATTGACATGTGCTTGAGTTTGGTCAATAAGATTAAATACATTTTATGAGGAAGTTTTAGGTACTTAATTGTTTTATTAATGCTTACAGTATTTCTAATAACAGTTTAGTCTAAATATCTATCATAGCTATTCAGCCAAAATGAAGTATGATTATATAAATTAGTTAATGAAATTCTGTAGTTATTAATGGGCAAATCAGAGATGGAAATTAAGTTGAAATTATTTTGGCTAGATCCACATGGCCTTTGTTAAAGGTGATTTACATATAAAAATAAGTCTAGGCAAAATAGCAAGACCTGGTCTCTCAAAACAAATAAACAAAACAAACAAACAGTTATAGGCAGGTATGGTGGCACACACCTGTAGTCCCAGCTACTTGGGAGCTTGAGGTGGGAGGATTGCTTGAGCTCAGGAGTTGAAGGCTGAGGTGAGCTGTGATCACACCACTGATCTCCAGCCTGTGCAGCACAGCAAGATCCGGCCTCTAAAAATGAAAATAATAAAACCTTTTAGAAGCCATTGAAATTTGTCATTTTATTGCATAATATAAAGAGAAAAGTTTGTATTTTAATCAGTTTATGGTGGTATAATAATTTTAATCAGTTTGTGGTGGTATAATACTGTTAAACAGTAACAGGATGAACATTTTACACTTTCCCTTTATATTTACCCCAAAGTAAAAACTAGTTCTTGTTTTCAACAAAATGAAAAAGAATACTTTATTTGTAATAACTTTATAGTCTCCTTCACATAATTTCTAATCCCCACGTTTTTGGAAGCTATAAAAATGAGGATAAGGGGTTAGAAATTTCCAAGAAGTGACTGTTACGATAGATATTGAAGGATAGCAAAATAAGAGTAGAGTTAGGTATCATAAAGAGCACAGTCTTTGAGTCCAAGATTGAGTTTAACATTAATCTAGATGTTGGATACTTCAAGAATAGAAAATTGTTCTGTTGCATCTGAAAAAAACTGTTGTTTTAATGGGAGCTGTTGAATTGACCTATTTACACTTTAAATGGGATATATTATATTTGCGTATAGAAGATAAAGCTCTGCTAGCTTCAGTGTAAAAGAAAAATTCTATGAAATGCATGCTCACTTTGGCAGCAACAATACAGAGAAGACTACCATGGCCCCTGCACAAAGATGACATGTAAATTCATGAAGTGTTCCACATTATATCTTTAAAATTTTTTTTTTTTTTTTTGAGACGGAGTTTCACTCTTGTTACCCAGGCTAGAGTGCAATGGCGCGTTCTTGGCTCACCGCAACCTCCGCCTCCTGGGTTCAAGCAATTCTCCTGCCTCAGCCTCCTGAGTAGCTGGGATTACAGGCACACACCACCATGCCCAGCTAATTTTTTGTATTTTTAGTAGAGACAGGGTTTCACCGTGTTGACCAGCATGGTCTCGATCTCTTGACCTCGTGATCCACCCGCCTCGGCCTCCCAAAGTGCTGGGATTACAGGCTTGAGCCACCGCGCCCGGCTAAAATTTTTTAAAGACTATAAAATCTATGAAATACATACTATATTGAGAATTTAATTTCCATTGGCATAAAAATGAATGATTTGCACGAAATCACATATACATATATTAGGAATCACAGTAAGTATTTAGATAAGGGCCCTGCTGATTTGAGTTCTAGGATGAACAACTCTTATCCAAAAAAAAATTTTTTTAAGACTCCCTTTTATTATGTTAGGCTAAAATTGTAACCCGTTGACAGAAAATAACGTAACTATGATCTATGGGGAAATTAGGCCTCTATGAAAATAATGATTTCTTAGTATACATATTCCTCATCAGTTTTACAGAACAAGTTTTTAGGTTAGACTCACTATAAAACTTAACTGGATTTACAAATTAGAATACCATTATCTTTTTTTTTTCTTGAGTAGCTTAATAGATACCCAGCATGCATATTGTTAAACTAGAATATAAAAATTTTAGATCAGTAATTCCAAAAGGCAAATATATTGGTGTAGTTAGGAAAATCATGAGTAGTAACTTTGGATGGTTGCTTTGACTGATTTTTAAAAAATGGTTAAAATTATATTAGAAACCTCAGAGAGAAGAAGATTTTTGTGATTTTCTCAAGTGCATTTTTTCATAATATTTTGGAAATTATGACACTCTTTTTTTTTTTTCCTCCTGAGGTAGAGTCTCACTCTGTTGCCCAAGCTGGAGTGATATGTCACAATTTCAGCTTACTGCAACCTCAGCCTCCTGAGCTCAAGTGATTTTCCTGCCTCTGCCTCCTGGGTAGCTGGGATTACAGGTGTACGTCACCACGCCCGGCTAATTTTTGTCCTTTTAGTAGAGATGGATTTCACCATGTTGGCCAGGCTGGTCTTGAACTCCTGAACTCAAGTGATCTGCCCGCCTTGGCCTCCCAAAGTATTGGGATTACAAGCATGAGCCACCATGACCGGCCTGAAAATTATGATATTCTTATTAGAATTGCGACTTATGGCTGGGTGCAGTGGCTCAAGCCGGTAATCTCAGCACTTTGGGAGGCCGAGGCGGGTGGATCATGAGGTCAAGAGATCGAGACCATCCTGGTCAACATGGTGAAACCCCGTCTCTACTAAAAATACAAAAAAAAAAAAAAAAATTAGCTGGGTATGGTGGCACGTGCCTGTAATCCCAGCTACTTAGAAGGCTGAGGCAGAATTGCCTGAATCCAGGAGGTGGAGGTTGCGGTGAGCCGAGATCGCGCCATTGCACTCCAGCCTGGGTAACAAGAGCGAAACTCCATCTCAGAAAAAAGAATTGCGACTTACTTTGTTTGGAGGAAAAGTATATTGTGTAGTTGTGTGCATGTTTTATGTTACAAATTAATTTTGTGTTTGAACATTTATTCCTTGAGGAAATGGTAGAGCTACCTCAGGATGTCATAAAATCGGTGTAGAGATGAAATAGGCTTTTATAGTTTCACTGGCAAGCATCAGGTTTATAGTCTTTCTAAAATCTAATCTCCTTGATGTTTTCTCTTTGTATTTCTATAAAAAGAAATATAGTGGCAACTTAAAAATTTTGTCTAAAGAAAAGTAATTCATTTCAACAAAAATTGTTTTATTGCATTAACATTGGTTTCATATTAATCTTTTAAAAACTAACCAAAGATGCATATCAGCATTTCCCAAGATGCTTTTAAAATATGCATTGCTGACCAGGACCCCTAAACCTACCAATTCAGTTTCTCATCCAGATCCTCCGTTTTTCTTTTCATTTAGTTCTATACATGTCTACTTTCAGAAAGCCTTTCAGATATTGTGATGTCCAGTCCTATTTAAGAACCAGTACCTTAGGAGAACTGAGGCAGTGAAGAAGCACTAGTGTAGTCTGGTACAGAGAGGGAGAACAAGCTCCCCCTTTCTCATACTTTCAGTTCCATGTGGGTGGTGGTGGTATTATTTTAGGAGGCTGGGTCTTGCTCTCTTTTCCAGGTTGGAGTGCAGTGGAGTGATCATAACTCACTGCAGCTTTGAATTCCTGGGCTCAGGCAATCCTCCCACCTTGGCCCCCCACAAAGTGCTAGATGACTGGCCTCCATATGTTAATAGAAGAAAACTAACTTCATACCTCAGTTCATTTTAGAATTTATTCTTACCCTACATTCTGTTTGCTGAGTTAAGGCTTTTTCTTGTCTGGGCTCTTTTGAAGTTGAGTAAACTGATTATCTTCCTCTTAAGTATTCTTTATTTTTCTTTCTTTTTTGTTTTTAATTTCAAAGCCTTCATTTTAGCCCAATTTCTGAAAGATTCTTTTTTTTTTTTTTTTTTTTTTTTTTTTGAGATGGAGTTTCACTCTTGTTACCCAGGCTTGAGTGCATTGGTGCAATCTTGGCTCACTGCAACCTCCGCTTCCTGGTCTCAAGCAATTCTCCTGCCTCAGCCTCCCAAGTAGCTGGGACTACAGGCGTGCGCCACCATTCCCAGCTAATTTTTTGTATTTTTAATAGAGACAGGGTTTCACCTTGTTGACCAGATGGTCTCGATCTCTTGACCTCGTGATCCACCTGCCTCAGCCTCCCAGAGTGCTGGGATTATAGGCGTGAGCCACCGCGCCCAGCCTTGAAAGATTCTTAAACAAGAAACCTAAGATGTATTTTTGTGCTCTTCATTTTCCATATCTACTTGGCTTTCATATTATGTCTCTGAACTGTCTTCTATTTTTCTTTTTTACTCTTGCCATCATAGCCTCTTCCATGCACTGTTCAAAGAGACTAATTGGTCTATCCTTGCCTTTCCTTTTTTGTATAGTAACAAAAGTAATCTTAAATATAGACCAAATCATGACTAAATAGTCATTAGAATAAAATTCAAGCCCCTTACAATGGCCTGGATAATCTGTTTTATATACCTATAATCTCACCTGTCACTCTTTCCCTTGTGTACTTAGTTCTGGGCTTACTGACATTCCCCAAATAATGTCAAGCTCCTTTGACTCATGTTCTCTGCATGTGTCATTCCTCCTATGCTTCCCATGGCTGGTTCCTTCTCTTCTTAGGCACTTGCTAAAATGTCACTTATTAAAAAAAAGGCCTTTGACTAACAATGTAAAGGAAGTTTCCCACCATTATTTTTCATCCTCTTCCCTGATTTCTTCCTTAAAATAATTGAAGGTTCTATTAAAATGCTACCGTCTTTTTTTCTGACTAAATAGACCTAGTCCCTTTAATTCTACTTCATGTTAGGACCTCACTCTCTTATTCAGTATATTTCCTGTTCTTTAAGAATATGTATTGAACATGGTCAGCCTTTTCCCTATCTCTGTGCCTTTGTTTGGGCTTTATGCTGCCTGGAAGGCTGTCCTGTTTATTGAGACTTATGCCTACTTTTTATTTATTAGGTCAAATTACTTTTTCTGGAAGTCATTTCTGCTTCTGTAGGCATTATAGTATCTCCCATTTCTTTGCTTTTATAGTGTGTTGAGTATCTCAGAATTTTTAATATTTTTGTCTTTAATATATATGTGCATATATATATACAGTATGTTAATTTACATATATATTAGAGAAAGACATTTAAAGTGTTTTAAATACATATGCACACATATACATACATATATATTAGAGAAAGACATGTTTGTATTTTTATAGTGTGTTGAGTATCATAATTTTTAATATTTTTGTATTTCTCTAATATATATGTATATCTGTGTGCATATATATTTAAAGTATTTTAAATATATCTAATCTCCCTGATGTTTTAAAGTATTTAAAATGCTTTAAAGTACTTAATGTATTTAAAATATATATGCACACACATTTATATACATATATAAGATATTTAAATATATATATTAAAATACGTATATTTTAAATGTATATACACACACACACACACACACACACATATATATATATATATATATATATATATATATATATATACACATATACATATATATTTTAGAGATAGGCTGTATCCCAGGCTGGAGAGCAGTGGCTTGATCGTAGCTCACTGCACCTTCAAACTCCTGAGCTCCTGCCTCACCCTCTGGAGTAGCTGGGGCTTGAGGCACTCACCATCATGCGTGGCTGATTTTGAAATGTTTTTCATAGAGTTGTGGTTTCACTATGTTGTCCCAGGCTGGTCAAACTCCTGGCGTCAAATGATTCTCCTGCTTCTGCCTCCCAAAGTATTGGGATTACATACGTGGACTCCTGTGCCTGACCTTCATGTTAGTTTTATACATACTTGTTTCCTCCACTAAAGTTAAATGTTCCTGGGGTGTTTTATCTTTTATTGTGATCACATATGGAGAGCTACAGTTAAGTATTAAGAGTGAACATTTTTAAGCATTTTAATGAGCTTTATGAGAGAGTGTAAAGTGTGTGAGCTTAGACCTAGGTCTTATTCTTAATATCTTGAGGTTTTAGAACCTTGCTCAGTGCTTGATTTCATGTGGTGGTTCCTATGAGCTTTCATATGTAGGTACAGATCAGAATCATATATGGTGCTTTGAAAATACAAATTCTCTAGTCCCCATCTAGGACCTAACACCAGATTTGAAACATCAGCCTTCATATATATATATAGTGTTTGTGTGTGTGTGTGTGTGTGTGTGTGTGTGTGTGTGTATGTATAGTTATATATATATATATATATATATATATATATATATATGGTAATCAGTTATTTAATTAGATTCTTAAGACATTTAGAATGCCA